GTCTGTTTTGTCTGGTATAAATATTGCTACCCCAGCTTTTTTTTTTTCATTTCAGTTTTCATGAACTAATTTTTTTCATCTGTTTACTTTCAGTCAGTGTGTGTCTTTCAACTGGAAGTGAGTTTCTTGTAGGCAGCATATGTGTTTAGTTTTCTTATCCATTCAGCCACCCTATGTTTTTTATCAGAGCATTTAATCCATTTACATTGAAAGTAATGATTGATAGATATGTAGCTATTGCCATTTTTAATATTCATATTTTAAATTTATTATATAGTTATTTATTTTGTCTTTAAAAAGTCCCTCTAACATTCCTTGTAATACTGGTTTGGTGGTGATGAACTCCTTTAGCTCTCTTATCTGGGAAGCTTTTTATCTATCCTTTAATTGATATCTATCTTTTAAATGATATCCTTGCTTGGTAGAGTAGTCTTGATTGTAGGTCCTGGCTTTTCATCACTTTGAATATTTCCTGCCAGTCCCTTTTGGACTGCAAAGTTTCTGTTGAGAAATCAATTGATAATTTTATGGGACCTTCCTTATAAGTTACTAGTTGCTTTTCTCTTGCTACTTTTAGGATTCTCTGTCTTGATATTTTGCCATTTTAATTATAATGTGTCTTGCTGTGGGCCTTTTTGGATTCATCTTGTTTGGGACTCTCTGTGCTTTCTGGGCTTGTATGTCTATTTTCTTCGCCTGGTTAGGAAAGTTTTTCAACATTTCTTCAGATTGGTTCTCAATCCCTTGCTCCCTCTCTTCACCTGGTACCCCTATAATGCAAATGTTGTTAGGCTTGATGTTATCCCAAAGGTCTCTTAAATTATCCTCCTTTTCTTGGATTCTTTTTTGTTTTTGCTGTTCTGATTGGGTGTGTTCTGCTACCTTGTCTTCCAAATCGCTGATTTGATTCTCTGTTTCATGTAATCTGCTGGTGATGCCTTCCAGTGCAGGGGTAGGCAAACTTTTGAGATGGAAGAGCCATTGAAAATGAAAATAAAACTATCATAGTTTCATTTATAAAATTTTTACAGGATATTATTCATATAATGGTGATTATGTAAAAATATATTTATGGCTCTTGAATAATTTTTAAATTGTTGTGAGGGACAGGATTGGCTCTTCCAGGGGTCGGCATACTTTTGAGATGGAACGTACCCAAAGAGCCGCATGTGGCTTGTGAACCATAGTTTGCTGACCCCTGTTCTAGTACATTCTTCATTTCAGTGTTTGTATTCTTCACTTCTGACTGGTTCTATTTTGTGGTTTCCATGTCCTTTTTTATGCTTGCTTTCTCTTTGTTGAAGTTCTCAATAAGTTTCTTGAGCATCCTTTTAACCATTGTTTTGAACTCTATCTGGTAGATTGCTTGCCTCCATTTCTTTTAGTTCTGTTTCTGGAGTTTTCTCCTGTTCTTTCATTTGAGATATAATTCTTTGTTTCCTCACTTTGGCTGTCTCTCTATATTTGTTTCTATGTATTAGATAGATCTGTTATATCCCCCAGTCTTGCTGAGTAGCCTTATGTAGTAGGTGTCCTGTGGGGCCCAGTGGCACAGTCTCCCTGGCCACATGCTCTGGGTGCTCCAGGGGTGTCCCTTGTGTGGGTTGTGTGTGCCCTCCTATTATAGTTGAACCCTGATTGCTGTTGGCACATCAGTGGGTAGTATTGATCCTCAGGTTGAGCGACTGTGTAATCTGCAGGTTATGGGCTGCTGTGCAGGAGGGCTTACCCCATGGAGGGGGATTTGCTCCAGTGGGCCCTGGTGCCTGTTGAAATTGCCTTTTGAGTGTGCCACTTGTGGAGTAATTGGATGGTGCTCTACTATGGTCTGAAACCCAATTCCAAGTATGAGGTCTGACAATTAGGTTTGTGAACCCATCCTAGAAAAAGTGCTACAGACCTCATTGCTGAATATCACTATGGGCATCTTCGAAGTACTTCCCTTGGGAAGCTATGCACTGCTGCCAGTGACTAGTCCACCCTTCTAAGCAATTTTGAAACTCTTTTTCTGGAATGGCCATCAGAGCTGTCATTGTATTACCCTTGATGCCCTGAATGTCACCCAAATGTCTACCTTTCAATATTTCCTTTAAAGAAATAAGTCATTGGGGACCAGATCAGGTGAGTAGAGAGGGTGTTCCAATACAGTTACGCATTTACTGACTAAAAACTCCCTCACAGATAGTGCTGTGTGAGCTGGTGCATTGTCGTGATGCAAGAGCTATGAATTGTTGGCGAAAAGTTCAAGTCTAACTTTTTCATGCATCCTTTCCAGCACTTCGAAATAGTGAACTTGGTTAACTGTCCAGTTGGTATAAATTCATAATGAATATTCCCTCTGATACGAAAAAAGTTTAGCAACATTATTTTGACTCTTCATTTGGACTGACCGAACTTTTTTGGTTGTGAAGAAATGACTGACTTCCATTGTGCACTTTGACAGTTTGTTTCAGCATCATATTGGTACACCCATATTTCATCACCAGTGATAACATGGCCCCAAACATCGCCTTGCTTCTCTAAAAGGTCTTGTCAAACTTTGACTCTCCTTTGCTTTTATTCATTGGTGAGCTCCTTCGGGTCTATTAATGCACACAACTTTCTCATGCCAAGATTTACAGTTAAGATTTTCCTAAGTACTTTTCTATAGATGTTTACTTGTTCTGCTATGCTTCTCACAGTCAGCCGATGATTTTGATGCACAATTTGATGAAGTTTTGCAATGTTTTCATCAGTTCTGTTCGTTACTGACCGCCCTGACCTCTCTTCATCAGTGACGCATTCTCTCCTTGCAGAAAAACATTTGATCCATTTGTACACTGCCGATTTCTTCATTGCAATATCCCCATAAACTTGGCATAATATGTCCCTGATTTCACTTCCACTCTTGCCAAGTTTAACAAATAATTTAATGTTTGTTCATTGCTCTTAATTCAACCTCAGACATTCTCGTGATGACACAGAAAAACATGCAACAACAATAATGAATGCCACTCAGCAAGACTCTGCCACAGGTACACATGAACACAGCTGTGAGACATTGATATACCAGTGACGAAACCTTCCCGAGTAGTTTGTACAGTGCAGCCAATGTAAGCGCATGGTGGCAAGTTTGCAAATTTAATTGAATTGTCAGACCTTGTATGTTGGTTCTGGGGCCGTTTGGGAGGGGCTCCAGTGCAGGCCCAAGTCAATCACTGCCTGTGACTGGCCTAGGAGTANTGGGCACTGCTTGGTGTGCCTCAGTTGCCCTCTCCCATGAAATGAGGGTGGTGACCCAACATGGAGATTACCAGAATTAAAGTGTGAAATGGGCTGAAAACAGAGAGGAGCAGCTGTACACACGTGATGGCGACTGTTGCTGAGAGGAAAGGCACTAAATAGGTGCTCACTGAAGCTAATGGCTAAGACATACATACTACCTGTTCCTGGTGGTTTACAAGCTTGACCCTGGCTGATTGCCCAAAACAAAACCCAGGCCCAAGGCAGGATGCGTTTCCCTCGTCTTTGTACCTTCCCTGATGAAACTGACTATGCACCTCCGATTCTGCCCCATCCTGTTGGGCGCTGTTGTCTTCAAGGCAGTTTCCAGGATGAGAGTACTTATGCTGTTCAGTGATGTGTTAGTGTGATTTTTGTCATCTCCCCCCTCCCCGCGCCCCTCTTGAGCTCCAATGAGCAAAGAACATGTTGGATATGTGTATGCAGAGGCTCTTAAGTATAGGACGGGGCCTGGCACTCAGGACATCTAAATACGTGTTTGCTGTATTAGTAAAGGGGCCTGGGTTGTGCTTGGCATGCAACCAGTGCTCAATAAGAGCTTAATATAACGAGTCTTTTCTGGGTCCCAGGCCACTGGAATTTTGTCTTGTGCTTCTGGTCTCCCTCACCTTCACCCTTCAGGGACCGAAGGCCCTTCGGGAAGGTGAGGCTCCACATGACTCCGTGGTTTTAACTCGGTCGTCACCACCACGGAATCCAGGACGTCCCACTAAAGCAAGGGAGGGATGCCGGTCAGGCTGGCTCCAGTCTCTCACGGGTCTGGGCCGGCTGGCTCTCCGACCGTGTCTCCCAGCCGGGAGATTCCTACCCCTTCCGCCAAAACCAGGACTCCTCAGCTTCTCCAACCTCTCGGGCCCTGAAACCACTCCCAAACAAGGCCCCGCCCCGAAGCGACCCGCCCCGGGCCGAAAGCAGCAAAAGGGACTCGATGCAGACGCACGCAGCTGGGTACACACGACCTCGCGAGACAAGGAAGACACCGGATCCCCTCCCGGCTCTGCATCCCCCGCCATAACCCCTGCCGATTTCACCTACCCGAAAACGACAGGACAGGGCGGGCAAACGTCACCAGCCGGACTGCGCCGGCGCAGGCGAGACCGGAGTACATCTCCCAGAGGGCCGCTCGTTCTTTTCCGGTTACTCCAAGGAACACCCCGTGGCCGACCATAACTCTTGAACGGGAGCAGGACTCGTAATCCGAGCGCGACTTCGCAGACTCCGGCCAGACTCAATTTCCACTCCCTGACCCACCCCACTCACCGGTAGACGGCGGCACAAAGTTGGTGACCACCTTCAAACCGGGAGCGCCGCACTACATCTCCCAGAGGACTGCGCGCGCTTTCGGTCATTTTCATATTACCACGCCTCCACCTGGGGCCAAGGCCGCCGGGCTGGAATCGGAGCTCGGCCTTGAAGGCCAGCCACAGCCTCACCTTCCCACCCGAAACCGCCCACCCTGCAGTCTCTCGCCCAGCCTCAGGACATTGGCCTTTTCCGCCGATTGGCCATGATTGCGCCTGCGCGTGTGTGAGGCGAACTACAACTCCCAGAAGGCCACGCGCCCGTTTCATAGGCATCTGTCCCTCCTTGTCCGTTTATTTACGATGTGTTTGAGTCGGCTCCTCTATATTTGCACCTCTCATAAATATTCGCTACCCGCCCGAGCATAACGGGTATTTCGGACGTCTTCACCAGATGCCTGAGAAACAGCATAAAACATAGGAAAGGGGGAAATAAGTTGGAGACTTAGAGGAACAAAGACAAATTTCAATTTTTCCCCAATGGATAAGATTGGCTCCCTTTTTCAGGAGCCAGAAAAAGGATTGGTCTGGGTAAGCCACAACACACTCCATTATCCAAGCAATATACAGAAATGTGGGGACAAGGACTCAATATTTATGTCGAACATAAAAGGCACAGTATGACATTTTTATTTTTTATTTTTATATATTTTTTTGAAAGTTTTTATTGGGGAACAGTGTGTTTTTCCAGGACCCATCAGCTCCAAGGTAAGGAGTTGTTTTAATCTAGTTGTGGAGGGCGCATGTGGGAATCGAAGCAGCAACCTTGGTGTTATGAGCCTGCACTCTAACCACCCCTAGCTAAACGGCTGCTCCATGACATTTATTTTTTAAATAATTTTTATTTAAAAATATAGCTAATATACACTATATCACAGGTATATACCATATTTGTTTAGCATTTCCATACCTAAAGAAGTGATCACCATATGTCCAGCAACGATATGACACTGTACTATGCTATCACAATATTGACTATATTCCTCATGCTGTACACTACATCCTCATGACTTATGTGTTTCATACCTGAAATTTCAACCATATTCTCCTTCACCGTCCCCCCTTTTTAATTTTTCAATTACAGTTAACATTCAATATTATTTTGTATTAATTTCAAGTGTACAGCATAGTGATTAGACATTTGTATAATTTAAAAAGTAATCCCACTCACTAGTCTAGTACTCACCTGGTACTGTACACAGCTATTGCCATATTATTGACTATTATTCCCTATACCTTCTTTTACATCCCCATGACTATTTTGTAACTACCAATTTGTACTTCTTAATTCCTTCCCCGTTTTCACGATCTCCCAACTCCCTCCCTATATATCACCATGATAAATCTAGTACTCATCGGACACCATACATAGTTATTACAATATTATTGACTATAGTCCTGTGCTATACCTTACATCCCTATGACTACTTTGTAACAACCAATTGTACTTCTTAATCTCTTCCTATTTTTCATTCACCCCCTCAATCGCCCTTCCATCTGGCAATCATCAAAGTGTTCTTCGTATCTTTGAGTGTGTTTCGGTTTTGTTTATATGTTTATTTTGTTTTTTAAATTCCACATATAAGTGAAATCACATCGCATTTG